AGCAGAGCGTGTCCTTTGGACCGGGGTCCCTGCGCTGAGAAGCTCCTAGTCCGGGGGAACACTGATGAGAAGGCCGATAGAGAGAAAAAGCCTTCCCCTGGAGCTGACGCCCTGAATTTGGACTTTCAGCCTACCTTACTGTGAAGAAATAAATTTCTTTTTGTTAAAGCCATCCACTTGTGGTATTTCTGTTATAGCAGCACTAGATAACTAAGACATGCATTAACTACATACCTACTTGGTATACAAGTAGTGCTTGTACTACTTGGAATAAAATTTAAACTCATGATCATGGCTGACAATACCCAACATAATCCGGCCCTGACTTCCTGTCTAACCTCATCTTTTACCAGTTTCCCCCGTGCCTATTCTCCTCTGATCACAGGGCCTTCTTTCTATCACTCAAACATGACAAACTCATCCAGCCTCAGGGTCTTGGCACTGGTTATACCCTCTGCTAGAATGTTCTTTTCCAGAGTCTTAGCATCTTCTTGTCATTCAGGTCTTACTTTAAATGTTACCACCTCTGAGTGACTGTCATCAACCATTACTCTAAAGTGGCCCACTAGGTACTCTATCACTTTACCATCACTTCACCCTGATTCATTTCCTTCACAGCAATTACCACTATCTGACAGTTCTTCCAGGGTTAGCACTAATTTGCTTTTTGCTGTTCTACTAGAAAGTATGCTACCTTGAGAGCAGAGGCACTGTTTTAATTACTACTGTATTCCTAGGGTCTAGAACAGTACTCTGGAAATATTTCCTGAATAAATGAATAAAGAGGTTAAGAAACTGAGCCCATGACTTCAAGCTCGTATTCCAGCTCTTACATTAACAGCAAATAATCTTTCATAATGACATTATACTTTGATTAATGAAGTTGATTTTTAGACTTTGAGAATATAGAATGTTGTTAGTTGCCATGGAGTCAACTGCTCTATAGGGTTTTCAAGGCTGTGACCTTTAGGAAGCTGATCGCCAGGCCTGCCTTCCGAGGTGCCTCTGGGTGGGTTCAAACTGTCAACCTTTTGGCCAGTAGTTGAGAGTTGAACCATTTGCATCAGCCAGGGACCCCCGATATAGGATGTAGAGGAAGTTAATCTGTGAACATGCTGGATTCACAGATTTGAGAAGAAATTCAAACCCAAATTTAAACGTTTAAAATTCACTGCCGATTTGATAGTCAATTTTTCTGCCAGTAAGAAATAAGCAGAAACCTGAAGAGTATAAACAAGGCCACTGAACTGTACATATAGAATTTGTTGAAATAGTATATTCTTTGCTGTGTTTACTTTCACACACACACACAAAAATAAAATAAAAATTTACGTATTAAAAAAAAAAAGGAAATAAGCAGAAGATGCTTAAAATGACTGAACTGAGTTGGTAGCAAAACTGCTACATCTAGGAGGGATCAAAGAGCAAAGATGCGGAAAGACCCAAGGGAAAGGGGAAATTCTGCCAGCCATCACTCTAGATATGGTAGGAGAATGGACATGAATGAACGCCCAGAGAAAAAAAGACAGCAGAAAAGACTAGCTCAGCTGCATTGTTCTAGAAAGTAAACTTACCGTTTTATTTCGTAATCGAATGATATCAGACACAGAGCCAGCCCCACAGTACTCCATAACAATCCACAAGTCTGTGTTCTTAAAATAACTGCCATAGTATTTGACCACGTGAGGGCTAGAGAGACAATCAAAATACAAATTAGTGGAAGAGACTTCAAACATCTTTCTGAATCCATGTTGTTAAATATACAAAAATTATTTCTCAGCTCAAAAGATAATTCAAATTCCAGGTTAAAATAGGTGCCCTCCTGTAAGAACGTAAAATAGTACAGCTTTTCTGGAGGGCACTAAATAACAGAAACTCAAAAAATACACAGGTCCTTTAACCCAGCATTTCTAGGAAAATTTCTTTTCCTAAGAATTACGGATGTTCAAAAAGGAATAGTTACCATCATAGGGCTGTTTATAGAAATGAAAATTTAGATACCGTCTAAATGTCTAACATTAGGGAGTTTATCAAAGAAATAATTGTATATCCATATGATGAAATACCATAATCCATGAAAAATATTACAAAACATTTAACATGAGAAGATATCTTTTTTACACACAAAAAAAAAAGCTGGTTATAAAAGAGTAAGCATAGTAAAACCCTAGAAAGAGATATGGAAGACATGAATACCAAAGAGTCTGACAATGATTATTTCTGCAAAAGGGATTACAAGCGATTTTATTTTCTTCTTTTTGTTTATTTGCATCTTTTCAAGAAGTCACATGCATTTTGTAGTAAGAAAAAAATTCACACTACAATCTTTATAAAGAAAAAGTAGTCAGGGTCAGACCTGTAAGTTTGGTCTCAAGCTTGAAGAGAGCTACTAAACAAGAAATTTCAGAGAAAAGTCAAACCTCCCATTAAAACGAAATCATCTGTGCTCAGAGAGGTCCCAGCTTTAACTGACTAGATTGTTCAGATGAAAATAATGCGCATGACAACTGAAGACGCTAAAACCAACTCACTTTCATTTCTCTCAGAATTTCAAATGCTCCTTCATCCTTGGGAAACATGCCAATGAGAAGGAAAGCAGAACCAACAAAAAAACAACTCACAAAATGAATACTAATGAAGAGATCGATGAATAAGTCTCTTAAGGTACAGATCACCAAGTCTGCCGTCCCTTCCCTAAACTCCTGTAATATTTACTGCCTCTATCAGTCAGGTGCTTACCATCAGAATACGCTCCATACAGCCTTATTACTGTCAGCTAGATTTTCCTGTATGTATATATATCTGGTCTGTCCAATTAGTCTATAAACTCCTGGAAGACAAAGACTCTGTCCCACATTTTTTTGTATTCCTCACGGTGCCTAGCACAAAGTAGCCTCTTCATAAATATCTCTTCTTTAATTAGAGCTATACGTATACCCTGTCTGGAACAGAGCTCTTGAGTAGTCTATCAGAAGTGACAAAGTCCCAATTTGCCAAATGGAAACAGCACCCATTATGTATCTTATAGAAGAAGAAAAGGAAAACTGTGACCTTAATCCGGTCACTCTAATCTAGAAAATGGGGGTTTTATCTAACAGACAGTAACCACAAAAATAGAAAATAACAGAAAGGGAGAGAGGGAGGAGAGAAATGACTGCATTTACAAGTCTGTGAGATTTAAGGACTCCTGGGCAAATTTCCTGGTGTGTAACCCCACCTGCCATAATTTTGAAGCTTTACAAATAAGAGGTACTAAACTGGTCTGCTGACTAAAAGGGCTTCAGAAGAATGGATGCAGCCCTAAGTGCAAGGCTTTCTCATCCCCTTTCCAGCCCCCCAGAGGCGGCACTGCCCCTCAGTTGGTACTTCTCCGAGTCTAAGCAGTGCTGGAGAAGCCTGCTCCATCACAGCGACCAGCCCACTTTGTCACGGAATTACACAGCAGGCCACGTGCTTTTCTGTGGTCGCCTGTTGGCCTGATTTCCTGCTCACAGCATTTGACAAATCTTAGTTCCTCAAAAATAAAATACTTAACTACTCTTAGCTTGAGTAATCTTTTAAAAACGTGAAGAAACAGTAATACATAAGCATTCTCTTCTCATAAACTATGTGATACGCTAATGTTTCCAGGACTAAAAACATCTGAATTCTCTCCTTAGCTGTCTCTGAAGAAACGTTTTCTCAAAAGGAAGTAAAAGAGATCATTATTGGGGAACAAGAAAAAAAAAAAAAGGCAGCACCACCTTATGCCTCTTCTTCCTAGTTTCTAAAACAGCTCATGAAAAAAGGAAAAAAAAATACTGCAGAAATAAAGAAACTATGTAAGTTTAGCTACTAAAGCACACAAATATTTTTATCATTTTTTTTTTCCGAAAAGAACATGCAGAGTGAGTCCATTAAATTCCTCTTCTACAAAATATCTAAATAAATGCATCTCTAGGAGTCAAACTCTTCATAAATATTCACACCAAATTCAACACCACATTCTCTCCAAAGTAAACCGTGTGCCTTTACCTGTCACACTGCTGCATGATAGAGATTTCCTTGATTATCTCCTGCAGGTCTGATTCCACAGGAACTTGCTTAATAGCGACAATCTGACCGGTCTCTTTATGAATAGCTTTGTATACGCTGCCATAGGACCTAGAATCAGGAGAAGGAGAACATTTGTAAACTCAAAGCAAGACACAGGCAACTCACAGTCTTAATTTATATTCCCAAATCCCAATACATACGTACTTAACTACACTTGTAAAACTGAAAAAACTGAAGTATTCTGGAAAAAAAGTGTCAAGAGGACTACACAAAATGACATCTTAAAAGCTTTACATTTAAGCTTTAATGAATGCGTTATTATGAAATAATAATAATCATAGTAGCTACCATGCACTGCATGCCTGCTGTCTGCCAGAAACCGTGTATCACCTCAGTACATCCTTGCAAAAAAACGAGGAAAGGGCATTAATCCTATTTTACAGTAAATGTAAAAAGGCTCAGAGAGGTTACGTGACTTACAAAGGTCACATAAATAAGTGGTTAGTCCAGGGCTTAAACCCAGGTGTGTCTGAATGCAAAGCCTATGTTCTCTCCACATCTATACTGGGGTACAATACGGAAATGCAATCTCCTGCTAAGGACAGGGCATGACTTCCTATCCCTGGGCCATAGCTAATTATGTACCTTTAAATTAAAAAAAAAAAAAATTCATTATTCTTAAGTGTCTGAAATGGAGAGAAGTCTTTGTGTGTACTAATCAGCAATCTTGACCAGAAGATTCTCCATGCCTCCCTATGCCATCTTGATAGCAAAGAAAACTCTGAAATCTTCTAAGAATGATTCGGTTCATGATCTCACACACTGCCCTTACATTATCTGAAGTTAGAAGACTTCAGCAATCATGCTCACTTACACACAATTCCTTAAGTCCTGATTCCTTACAATAAAAACCAAGTGCCGCGATGAATTTTAACTGGCAGGGAACAAAGATGGCAGGGAAGCAAGTGTCTCACTCAAGCCATACAAGGCAACAGACCAATGTCCTTTCCACATGTAGAATAATACATGTGAATATAATACAGTATCTGAGGCCAAACTAACCATGTCCAAGCCTTAGCAATACCGCTCACTAGCTATGAAACCATGGGCAAATCTAGACATTTGGAGCCTCAATATCCTCCTCTGTAAAACAGGAATAATGACAATAATACCTAGTTCATAAGACTGTTGGAATGGCTAAATGAAACAATAAAGACTTTGTAAATTACAGTGGCACAGTGGTCAAGAGCTTGGCTGCTAACCAAAAGGTTGGCAGTTCGAATCTAAAAGCCGCTCCTTGGAAATCCTACGGGGCAGTTCTACTGTCCTGTAGGGTCGCAATGAGTCGGAATCAACCAGATGGCAACGGGTTATACATATACTAGCTTTTGTTATCATCCTATGATAAAAAATGAGTCAATATGTAAAACTTTAAGTATAACAGAAAGAATAAGGGGCCAGGGTCTGATTCAAAACACTTTTCAAGTGCTCTCCACTCATCCTGGTCTCCAGCAGATTTTGCCTCTACTCTGGCACAGATCCACACAATTTCCTCAAAACACAGAATGACTGCAGGTTCCAGGATCCAATATAGTCCTTTAGTCAGTGCTCTTTTCACAAAACACAAGTCAGTGAGAATTCACAAACCATTGATTTTCCAGAACAATGTAAGGATGGCATGGCAGTTTGTGTTTAGAAAGGAATTACAGTTGAGGTCTTTCTTCAAGATTTTGCTAGTTAAATGAAGCTTGCTCAGGTTTATTATTCAGGATGACAGAAATCCAAGCATTTGTGGTATTTGAACAACAGCAAAAATATACTTTAAGCCTAACTCTTTAATAAAAGGGCTATGTATATGGTGACAGAATGGAAGAAGATCTGAAACTTTGTTTTCTCCCGGGTGATATCCTGACGGGAAAATTTCCAAGTTCCTTGCAAAAACATCCATGGATCTGAAAGACAATTTTAAAAACGAAGTTTTTTTAAACCATAATTAGCTAAGTCTTTCCATATATTATATTCCTGATATGTTCTCTGACATTCCCAAGCCAAATTATCCCAAACACAGCTTACCACAGGAACACCTAAACACACCTGAGATTTAACACGATGAGGTCAGAAAAATGCTTCAGCTGACACATTTAAAAACAGTAATAGTTGCCACTACTAAGCATTATGTGCCAAGCACTGTACTAAGTACTTTAACCACATTATCTCATGTAATATTTACATAACCCTATGAGGCAGATACTATTGTTATCCCCACTATATAGACAGGGAAAGTGAGGATTTGAAATATTAAGCAATTTGCTCAAGTTCACGTGATAAATCAACAGTAAAGCAAGGATTTGAACCCATGTCTGTTTGACTTCAGAGTCTATGCTCACACTGTTGTAATCAATTTTTATTAAAAGTAAAAGAAACAAGTTAATTACACAGTCAATTATGCTTTCTTGTCTCGTCTTATTCCAAGTATAACCTATGAGTATTGTTAGATAAAGGAAGTTGGACTAATCACCTTGAGGCAAACAGTAAGCACACCAAACTAAAGCTGAAAACAGCAAGCAAGAGATGTAGAGGGACTGCCGTTTTTCCGTACCTTTAATGACGCCAGTCAACTTGCAGTCTTCAGATTTGTCCTGGATTTGTCTTCCAGCAGCACAGCTGGTGTCATCTTTTATTTCCCTTCTCTGCTTGATTCCAAAGAGTATTTTTCCAACTTACAAAAAGACGATGACTAATGTTTTTTACAAAGAGGTAACCCATCAAAAACTATTCCATGTAATCCAGGATTGGCTTTAACATTATTGCGTATGTGTACTAGGCGTAATTCAAAAACCCATTGCCATCAGGTCAATTCCAACTCATAGCGACCCTATAGGCGTTAAGTAACACTAAATCCAAAAAACAATCTAACCATGTATAAAAACTGATTTTAAAAAGCATACAGTTATTAGAGAACGGGCCTTTTTTAAATATGTCATTTTCTAATATGTTAGGTATTCTCTTGAAGTTTTCTTAAGTGATTTAAAAAAATACACACACATTTATTTGCTTATTGCTTATGCAAAAACTCTCTCTGAAAGATACACAAGAAACTGCTACATTGGTTGCTTCACTGTGGCTGAGAGACAGAGAACTGAGGGGCAGATTTTCTTACTACATACACTTTTATACTTTAAATTTTGAACCATGTGAACTTATTATTTGTTCAAAAATTAACAACCAACACCACTCAAAAAAGCCTTAAGAAAGGGTGTCCCTAATATTTTAATGTCCTGGTCATTACAGAAAAAGAAAATATACACAAGGATTAAACTGAAAGGGTATGTAAAAGCACAAAAATTTAGGCTGTAACCTTTATTATACCATGAAAGTCAGTGATGCCCACTGTCTATTACTAAATATCATTTCATCAATATTTTATAAACTCGTTTGCAAACCTGTGTTTCAAACTGCTGTTCCCATCAAGGATTTTGGATCTCATAGAAAACTGTAAAGGTGGTACAGTCTTTGACTTATTTATTATATTTCACAAAGCTGCACTAACTAAAATACTGAATTTAATTTTTTTTTTATTGAAACAACAGTCACTGTATACCAACCAGAAGCTGTGAGCAACAAATATGAATGTCTGATTAACAAACATAGAAAGATGAATTATAATATAATTAGTGCAATCTATTAAACAGATAAAATCTTTCAAACCATGGATTCTACAACACAGAAAACAACAGATGTCCCTGGGGTTGAAAAGACCGGGAATCACTAAATCTGTGTGTATTAGTAATGCGGGAGACAGCATTTCAAGCTATAAATTTACCTCCACCCACCCAGAGCCGTGATGATATGCAAAACTCCCCTCCCTTCTTCTCACGTTTGAGAATTGTCACAAGAAGCGTTCATAGCCTTCTGGTGTTGGGACAGGAAAAAAACTGGAACCAACTGGTCTACCTGTATTTTCTGTATACTCACCCTTCTCCAAGTTTCTCTAGGACATCAAACACTTCTTCTGGCTGTTTGGTTAAACTGTCTTCATCCAACTTCTTCAGCTGCCTGTGAATGGAGAAATACAAACATAAAACGTATTTTACTTGCTAGCAACTAGAACATGAAATCCATTATTTATTTTACAATTAGCATCCTAGGAATTTCTCTACGAAGTTTTCACTAGCAAACAAATTTTAGGGAAGCTGAAGGCTGTTTTCTGGAAGGATTACACTTGTTCTGCGTCACCCTGATGAGTAAAATCAGGCGGAGAGCTGCCAAGAAGTTCAACCTGTGTAAGAATTAGACTGCCTTAAACAGTCCCTAGTTCCCCATTGTTGAAGATTTTAAACAGAAAATGAATCATCCTGTGCCTGATATGCTGTAGAATAGATTCAAGCATAACATATAATCTTTAATGTCCATTTAAATTCTCAATTCTGTGAATTACAGTGGTATAACTACCTCTTCAGAAAGCATGTTTATGTACAGCTAATTTTAAATCGTAACATAGCCTCGGACTAGAGATCAAGGAAAATATAGGATACCCTTGTTCTCCATTAGCAAGACTTTGGTAATTTTGTCAGAGTATGTAAATTATAAATAAATTTTAAAAAAGGAAAAAAGAGAGACACAGAGATTTGGCACACACACAACAAAGAAAAGAGGAAGTGGCAAAGTGAGTGGAGGCAGAGACTGGAATGATGCAGCCACAAGCAAAGGAACTCTGACAGCCACCAGGAACTGGAAAGGGCAAGACATAGATTCTCTCCTATAGCCTCCAGAAGGAGGGTGCCCCTGCCAACACCTTGATTTTGGCCCAGTGAAAAAGGTGTTGAACTTCTGGCCTGCAGAACTGTGACAGAATAAATTTCTATTGTCTTCAGGGGGAAAAAAAAAAGTAGATTTATAGGTATCACAGAAACAAAAAGTGTAACGTACACTTTTAGACATGATCAAAAGTGAGAAATAACTAGGCAGCTGGGACTTTCAGAAGAGTCCCTCAAAGGCTCTCCCATGAGCAGTCATGTACCTCTTGACCAGTCACCAAAATCAAAGGTGCGTGGCTGCCTGCAGCTTATGCTAGAGACTCACAGCAAACAAGGGAGGTTATAAATTACCACTATTTTTTTTAAACTTTGGGACCTCTGAAAACTAAATCCCAAAATAACTACATTCAGTGGTTCTATCTTTGTATTATTAACAGGTTTAGAGAAGGAGCTGCTAAGGTCTCTGTGAGAGCATGTGTGCGTGTGTGTGTGCGCGCGCACATGTGCATATCTTCTACACAATGGCTTCCTGAAACTACAAAGGACGACAAAGAAAAGTGAGCTCAGGAAATGGTGAAATATGGAAGTAGTCAGACTGGAGAGTTGTTTGTTAAAAAAAAAAAAAGTTTAAACTAGTTGGACAATACCAATTCTTATAGAAAAAGACTTGGATTTAAAAATAATAATAATAATACACACACACACACACACACACACACACACACACACACACACGTGCATCTTCCTAGAGACAATGGGAAAACCAGAAGAGAAGACAAAAAACCTGAACAGATCAAACATATCTACCAACAAGGACTGATCTCAAAAGGACAATCTTACAGAATATTATAAATATCAAGGCCTATGTACTAGCAAAATAGAGAACTGCTCCAAGCCAATAACTGCCTTAACTTGAAAATTAACAGAGCAAAATGTCATACTGACCTTTGAAAATCAAAAGGTCCTAAAAATTAAATTCCAATGACATCATAAAAACTCCCAGCTTCAAAACTTAAGTGGCTGAAGTGAAACTCCTCTTAAACTTCAGAAGTGAATTTTCTATGAATTAAGAAATTAGAATGCACATCTCATAAACTAGGGTTTTGGGTTTGGCTTTTTTCTTTTTTTTGCCCTGAATTATAACTGTGTAAACAATGGACAATACCTCATTTCTCAAGTATAATTAAAGTTTATAAATAGTTTACATAAAGAAAGATAAAATGTATTCCTTTGGAATGTTGACTCTTGTAGAATACAAAAAGCAAAACTCACTATTTCAACGACTACAGAAACCACAGCATAACAAAGGAAACCGCCATTGCCATGAGAGAAACAGCTGCAAGCCTCTGATAATACTTTGACAGATAAACTTCATGCAGCTGCTCAGATGGTCCTTCATAAAAATCTAAGTGGTTCCTTGTTTGTTTGTGTTGGGTCCAGGGTTATTTAAAACAACCTGAACTTAAGGGACCTTTATATCTCTGGTGTCTGACAGTGGTCAATAAATATTTGCTAAATGGATTAATAAATATAACAATGGGAATCATAACCTTCATCAACAAGTTTCGTGAGTTTTCAAAATAAAACAGTATTTCACCTAAGAGTAAGATTTCTATGGAAAATCTTATGATAAGTGACTCTTAATGATATTTTATACCACGAGTCACCATGGAACAAGTACTATTACTGAAACAGCCCACCTTTGATGATGTGGCTGTCTCAGCTGGGACTTCCCCAGGTCCTAGGTTTTTTTCAGCACTTGCTCATGAGCGAACAGACCTGGCCAACAGCCTCCACGGGCCTAACACCGATGGATGCCCCTCTCAGGTCAGATGACCATGTAGGTGGCCAGTATCCCAGGAACATACTCCACACCTTCCACCACACCATCATTATCTAATAGCCGCTCACTTTTTGAAATCATTAACTCCTATGTAAGACAACTTTAATCCAGCATCATTCACTTAATCACATGCAAATATCAAACTCATGAACACAAAGAGCACTTCCTACCTTAGAGTTGCTATCTCTTGTTGGAAACGCATACCATCTGAATCTCTGAAAAGATACCTCTATCTTTTAACAGGATGCTTATGAAGTAGTCACACAGCTTCTTTCTCCCAACTTAGAACTCTTTGTTGTTGTTGCTGTCAGTTGCCATCAACTCGGCTCTGACTCATGGCCACTTTATACATAACAGAATGAAATTTTGCTTGGTCCTGTGCCATCTTCATGATCTCTGATATATTTTAGCCCACTATTGTATCTATGGAGCCCTGGTGGCGCAGTGGTTAAGAGCTTGGCTGCTAACCAAAAGGTCGGCAGTTCGAATCCACCAGCTGCTCCTTGGAAACCCTATGGGGCAGTTCTACCCTGTCCTATAGGGTCGTTATGAGTCAGAATCAACTCAACAGCAAGGGGTTTGGTTTGGTTTTGGTTGTATCTACTGTAGCAATCCAACTCATTGAAGGCTTCCCTCGTTTTTGCTGACCCTCTACTTTATGAAACATGTCTTCTTCTACGGATTGGTCTTTCCGGATGACATGTCCAAAGACTCCTCTAAGGTTTATTTTATTTACGTATAACTACCCCTCTTTCCCGTGAGTCAGAATCGACTCAACGGCAATTGGTTTAGTTTCATCTCTTTTACACAAAATTTGATACAGGTTGCAACAAATATATAAGAAATTGATGGAGTTTTTAAAAAACTTAATCTGCTGCAGGCCCACTAGCTATGATGATCATGAAAGCACTAATCATCCAAGAACTCAGTCTTGAATGCTCTTCGCTTGCTATTTTAATTAAAAAAAAAAAAAAATCCAAAAGATACAGGAATCAGCATGTCAAGAAGTGAAAAAGCCTTATTCCTTAGCCCAAGATTACACAACACACGGCAATGGTAGAAAGAAAACTCATATTCTTAATCCTCTTCTCAGTTAAACCAAGGTCTCACTCTCAAGGAGAAAGAACACACATATTTCAGAAAAAAACATAACCAATGTACATTTATAATTGGATTTCTATGGTGCTATCGGAAATACCTGCTAATATACACAAGGCCCTGTGAAAAACGGGGTACTTCCAGAGAAGCAGTGGAGTGAGGAGTTAAGAGTGTGGACTTTGGACCAGACTGCCCGGATTAAAATCCTAGCTCTGCCACTTACTGGAGCCCTGGTGACACAGTGGGTAAGAGCCTGGCTGCTAACCAAAGGGGGAGCGGTTTGAATCCATCAGCCGCTCCTTGGAAAGCCTATGGAGCAATCCTACTCTGTCCTACAGGGCCGCTAGGAGTCGGAATCGACTCGATGGCATCAGGCTTTTGCCACTTACTAGCTGTGGGACCTCCAGAAAATCACTAACCTCTCTGTGCCTCAGTTTTATCATCTGTAAAATAAGGATATAGAGATATCCACTTCACAGGATTGTTGTGAGGACTAAATGAATTAATACTAAGTTGAACCATATGACATTACAATTTTTATAGGTCCCAAAAGCAAAAAACCAAACCTATTGCCATCGAGTTGATTCTGACTCATAGTGACCCTACAGGACAGAGTACAACCGCCCCACAGGGTTTCCAAGGAGAGGCTGGTGGATTCAAACTGCTAACCTTTTGTTTAGCAGCCGAATTCTTAACCACTGTGCCACCAGGGCTCCTTTTATAGGTCAACAGTGGTCCAATATCAGCAATTTCATATGGTTCAACAGAAGACATGGAAAGCACTTGAACAATGCCTGGCACACTATACACTCTGTGTGTAATAACCGTTATTACTACAGTCTCAGCACGCTAGGGTGAATTCTGAGTCCTTCCCAACCAGCTATTTGCCTTCTGCAATGTTTGCCCACTTTAAACAACCAAGTGTGCTGCCTAATCCCTTCCCTTCATCTCTCCATTGCCCCTGCACTCCCCCACTGACACTTCCTACTTTAGTGATCCTTCTGCTGCAGGAAGTTAGAGGGCTCTGTGAAATAGAAGCTAAGTACACTGCACCTCAGAGAAGTATGACTCTCTCGGTCTCTACTCCCAGCTTTTCTCTAGATGTCAGAGTGACAGAAGACCTCGATGACCACAGATCAACTAAATCATACATCTGCAACCAAACTTTCTAAGGTCAGCCATCTCCCTGATCTTGACCTAAAGACAATTCCAGTTGAGGCCAGGAAAGGACACAGCCTTGCTGGGTCCAGCGACCCAGACCTGGGGCAAAGAAGGAAACAAACAAGGCTGTGTTTCAACTCTTCTGGGTCTCAGTTCGCCCATCTTCAAAATATCCTCTTATTTCCTAACCTACCTCCCCAAATCTGGTTTTGAAAGGATGAGGAGGATGAGAGGAAGGCACTCTGGACATCAGGAATGAAAGATGCCATCACCAGCCTAGACAGTAGGGACACTACCAAGTGCATCCTCCTAAATACTATCCTCCACGAACTACTCCCTAGCTAGACCCTCACACCTATCTTCCCACGCCTTCAGCCTTAGGCGCAAAGCTTTTCCCCTCAACAGATGCTCCACCGCTGGGCCGTTCAGGTGGGACTCCCTCCTTTATAAAGTCCACCCCGGCCTTCCTCTGCTAGGAAGGCGAGCAACCCCTTAGAAAAGGCCCTCAAGGGTTCTCATCCTTCTGCTTCAGCACCTACCACCCCCCACCCTCCAGTAGTCTTCTTGGATAGCTTTCGCCCGAATGATCCTCGCCTTTTGCATGTGCTCCTCCTAAGTTGTCCCCAGGTTTATCCTCCTCACTGAATGCTCCCCTCAGCCGAACCCCCACTTTCCGGAGATCCCCCACTCCGCAAGTGCTCCCAGCAGCCAGGTCGCCGGCGCAGGTCTTTCCTCTCCGGTGGTTCCTGCACAGGTATCTCCCCGCAGCCAACTCCTGCCTTTCCCCTACACCCCGCAGGTACCCTTCCTCTCAACTAGTGCCCCCTCACCGGCGCGGCGGATTCCTCAGCTGCACCGTCTCCATGGCGCTGCCCGCAGCGACCCGTACCCGCTCACTTCTCCATCCTCCCTCCGGACCTCCCCAGGCCCGCCCCGCAGACCCTCCCACACTTCCGCTTTCCGCCCCTACCGGAAGCAGCGTGCAGCGCGGGAGCGGGGTGGAGCCGCCGGAGGGCGGAGAAAAGCGGACCTGGATCACGTGGTGCGTAGTCTAAGTCACGTGTCCAGTCAGGGCGCGAACAAGGAACCGCCCGGCGCGGGAGTCTCCTCCAAGCTGCTTCCCCAGCTGGGCTTGAGGTTATTGGTGAAGCTGTCGGCGCCATTCGCCGGAGACATGCGGTCTCTGGTCGGGAACCTGTTTCTCTTCCAGTGGTGTCCCTCCATTTCTCAGATGGAGATACTGAAGCTTCTTGCGAAGCGCAGACTTGTCAAGAACTGTCGGTTATTAAACAGTCTAAATTCTACACGATTCATGGAAAGCCCTGCTCCAGGGGCTCCTGGAGAACTCTTACCTGGTTGAACTCTTGTCGTAGGTGCACACCCTCCCCTTGGATGTCACAGAACATCTATCCGCAAATTGCCCCACCCTCTCTAACAGCCTGACTTTAAGTCAGTTTGGGACATAAGAATAGCTAACATTTATTAAGCATTTGCTATGTGCTTCCTTTCATATTTTATTTCATTTAATCCTCACATCAAGTCTGTAAGGTTATCACTGTCTTAATGTATTTATATAACTATTTTGGGAGTCCCTGGGTGATACAAACAATTAATGCAGTAGGCGGCTAACCGAAAGGTTGGTGGTTTGAGCCCACCTGAGGTGCCTCGGAAGAAAGGCCTGGGGATCTACTGCTAAAAAATCAGTCATTGAAAACCCTATGGAGCATAGTTCTACTGTGACACACATGGAGTAGCCATGAGTTGCAATCAACTTGATGGCAACTGGTTATAACTATTTGACAAACAGTGCTTACCGTGTTCTCAGTGCTGTACTAATTGTAACTTATTTAATCCTCCTACGAATCCTATAAGGTAAGTACTATCATTATCCTCATTTTATAAGCCGTGAGAGGTAAAACGTCTTGTTTCAGGGTCTCAGCTAAACGTAGAGGTTTGGAGATTCTAATCCAGGTCTGTCTGATTCCAGAGCCTGCCCCACCAAACTAGTGATGTGTATCCTCTGGTTGGGCAAGAGAGACAGACCTCCCCTTCCACTCAGAGTTCCAGTTCCAGATATTACAGTTAAGAAATACTCAGTTGCTACCACCATCAGTGTTAGGGAAATGTCAGATTCTTCCCCATTTACCAACGGGAAGAGTTAGAGGAGAAAACTTAATCCAGAACAAACTCTTACAGGTTTCAGTTGTCCTGTTTTTCCCAAAGGTATGCCAGCTACAAAACTTAGCACTTGAGCAAACTCTCCAGGGCACCCAACTATGGCACTCCATGTGTCAAAAATGTCAGGAGATAATGGAGACATTCTCCTGATGCCGTGTGGAAAAACATTTACTGAGAATATACTATGTGCCAGGCACTGTTCTGATCTTTGACTTACTCCTCAAAACAACCTTATAAAGAATTATTATCCCCAGTTTACAAATCAATTAACTCTGAGAAGTATTTAAAAACCAAAAAAAAAAAATTTTTTTAAATAGTTGTCCAGTTATGTCTGTGCATATTATCCTGTTAAAATGACTTTGTCTGTAATACCTATTCTTTCCCCAATAGAGTGGAATATATGTTAAATGTGGCCTTGATGAGATGGCTAACTCTGAGAGATATCTTAATAATATCAAAAAGTCACCTCCTGTCAAAAAATGGAAACAACCCAAATGTCCATCAAAGGATGAATGGATAAACAAAATGTGGTATATCCATACACTGGAATATTATTTAACAATAAAATGGGAGTACTGAAATATACTACAACATGGATGAACCTTGAAGCATGAGGCATGCAAAAAGTCACAAAGGACCAAATATTATATCGTTCTGTATATATGAAATGTTCAGAAACTAGTGTATTTTAATGGCCTGGCTTTGGAAGTTACATAATGTCACTTCCACTGTTGAGGGGGCCACAAAGTCCCACCCATTTTCAATGAGACGAGACATAGATTCCATCTACTGATGGGGCAGCTCTAAGTTTCTGGAAGAGCATGCAGGACCAGAAATATTGTTGTGGCCATTTTTCAAAAATACAATTTGCCACAGGTGTACTTGTCCGGCATATTAATTAGGATATATTCAGCTGCAAGCAATTGATAACGTCTAAATAGCGACTTAAGGCACCATGATACGAGTTGTTTATTAATAAGAAGTCCAGAAGTCAACAGTTCCAGGGTTGATTCAGTGACTCAACAATGTTAATTTTCTTTCCTCGCCCATCCTACTCAGGAGGTTGGC